TGGATCCAAATACCACTTTGGTAGGATAACTCCACTCAATGAATGGCTGCCATATACTCTGGACTCAGGAGACCACAAATGGAATTCTCTGACTTTCCTGTTTGTACGAATGACATCATTATTCCATCAGGCTCTAGGGGTTACAATTCTGTTCATCATCTTTGATTCCTTCCTCCCCCACCTCCTGCGTTTCTGTGAGGTGACAGAAGCCAGGCAAATCCTTTAGCACACAGGCCCTGACACCAAGGAAACTCTCCATCAGGTAAGCTAGTATTAGTTAATACCTTACTGCCCACAGTGAATCAGGTAAGTATCCCATGTCTCCCCCTTCACTCATCTCAAAACCATCCACACACCATTCATTCCTTCTGTTCCCCTTCCTACCTCTCTTATCAAAGCACATTACTTCCCACCTGGACCAGGGATAGAAATTCCAGACTCCTTGTCTCCAATCTCTTCCCCCACTTCCTACTCCACCTGGGATACAAGATTCAGATAGGGCTAATGAAAAACTACCTTGGATGATGTCATTCTCCTGCTCAGCAATGACAATGCTTGCTTGATGGCTCACCTGGAAACCAAGCCCTTTCCAGGCAGTGCCACACTCCGCTTCCAGGCTTGTCTCCAATAACCACCCTCTGGCCAGACTAGAATGAGAAAATTCTAGAAGATCTTCTGCCTCTTCCACACCCATTCCTTTGTGGATAATACTCTCTCTGTTTGGAAAGTATCCAGTGTCCACAAATTGAAGTCTTCCCATTCTTCGAAGCCTCCTTCTCCTTGGAAGCCACTTTGTGTGTGTCTGTCTTTTTCTCCCATGAGCCCCTACTGGCCCAGAAGCTTATTTTACTCTCATAGAGCTTATATTTGCTTCTTACTCATCTTTCTTTGTTTTCCCTTTAGGACCTTATGCAGTGCTTCATAATCAGAAGACACTCAATAAATATCTATTGATTAAAATTGAACACCTTGCTCATGGGAAGGTGAGTGACACCCCTCTATTATTTGAGATCTATTCTCTGGCTGAGGAGAGATACATGGGATCTCTTTGGCCAAATCTTCATGCTGTCTGATCTCTCTTGAATACCCCAGCTTGCATTTTTGCAGCATAATTAATGGCTTACACTACCTAATTTTGCCCTCTGGCCTTTCTGATTCCAAACTACCTTACCTTATTCACCCCAAAACACTACCTGTCTCAAACTCTTATTCTAATCTCCTAAAATGTAATTGTTCTCTTGTACAGAATGCTGCCTATGGACTAAAACACTGAAGGGAATCACTTTTCTTCAAAGTCTGGTCTGTATCAGGGAGCTTAAGCCCTGCAGTCAAGTGTCATAAAAATGGGCTGATAAGTAGCTGGGAAGCAGAATGCTGTGTACACACAAATTGCACTGCATTGTAGGGTGCAGTTTGGAAGTTCCTGCAAGAGTTGTTTATGAAAATGCATGAGCTTACACTAGCTTGACTGAGGAGATCATATACTTAACAGTCACTGTCGGAGCACTGCATAAGAGGAAGGGTGTTTCATGCGCATCTAAGCGACTCTTTTGAAGTATTTTTTGATTCTTTTCATTAGGCAGGATGAAGCCATCTTTATAGCTATGTTGCTGGCATCAAAAGATGCACATAATATGTCAGCAACTAGAGTGTAATGCATTTATTTTGTGTGAGCACAGTAAACCACTTGAGAACACAATTCATTCTGCAGAAACACCGAATTAACCCTTCAATTCCCATGTCACAAGTCACCATTCTTGTTACACTATGGTTTTTATATCTTATAATGATGTTCTTTAGCCTGTTCATGCATTAAAAATAAATCAGGTAAAGAGAAGAAAATACAGTGCAAAAGTGCCTCCTATGAGTTGTATGCATCTCCCAAAGTCACTTTTGCATTTTTCCCCAGTGCGGACTGTTTTGGACTCACTGCTTGTCAACACTGTCCCCTCTTGGGTCTTGGGATCCTTCAGCCCTCTTGGATGCTGATGGAGCCTAACCAAAGTTTTCCTTCCATATTTTTTCAAATGATTTCGGTTTGGGAAGAAAGAAAAATAAGGCCGGACTTCCAGTACTTGCAGAGGGCGGTCCACTACCACCACTTTTCAGTTGAGGGACCCTGGCAAATTATTTGGCCCTCTGAGCCTCAGTTTTCTGCTCTGTAAAATGGGGATAATGATGCCCTCCCCCTGTGGTTGCTTGGCACTTAAGGTACTTAAGGAATGTTAATTGCACTCCCATCCCTCTACACTTTCCCCCAGATTCTATCCACAGGTTTGGGAGAAATGGGTGTCACTGGAGCAGGAGGAAGTATTCCTTACATCCCTTCGACTTTCTTTCTTCTTCCTCACACAGAAACCAAACCTCAGAAACACAGCTTCTTCTTCGGTCCTCTCCAGTTACATCCTCAACCTCAGTCCTACTGTGTCACCCGCACAGCAAGGTGAGCGCAAGAATCTCGGAGGGGACCCATCCTCTCCCTGGCGCGCTCACTGGCAGAGGACACTGGTTGGAGTTACAGTAAACTGCCTCTCTGCGAAGGGTAGAGGGGCAGAAAGAAGGTACAGGTGTTTTGGGGGGTCTCCCTCCTGTTCCATTTCCCCCCAGCCAAGCATTGCACTGGGAGATGAACTTGGCTCTGGCTCCCTGCGAAACACCCAGGTCAAGGTGCAAGCACGTCACAGGCAGCAGAAGGAAGGGAGGGGACTGATCATGTCGTGTTGTAGGCGGTCATACCATTACAAGATTTTCTAGCCCCAGGACTGTCTCGAACTCGTTCTATCTCAGTGACTGACTCACTTACTGGAAACGGTGTGAACACAGGTGTAACACTGGGCTGCGGAAAACCTGGGTGTCCCAGACTGGTGGAAGGCCAGCTCCCTCCAGTTCAACCACCCTCGCATTCATTCTACATCCAGAAAACTAAAGTTCAAAGAGGTTAAGCAATCTGGCAGGGGCCTGGAGTCTGGGGACTGAGCAGGACCTGGAACCTACTGTTGGGATCCCATCCCTGCTCCCTCCCGCGCCACCCCCCCCCCACCCAAAGGTTGCAGGAATTGGCGATCCGGGTGCTCCAGTCGCTTTTGCAGCCCACTTCGGAGCCCCCCCGCCCCCCCCCCCCCACCCAAAGGTTGCAGGAATTGGCGATCCGGGTGCTCCAGTCGCTTTTGCAGCCCACTTCGGAGGATCCCGACCTGGTTATTCCGCCCCCGACCCTCACTTCCTCGTTTCCTCTTCCCAAGGGTCCTGCGGGGTCGGCTCCAGAAGTGATGCAAGGCGCCGGTACCTGCACGTGCATGGTGCTGGAAGGAGCCTGCAACTCCGGGGCTCGCCCCAGTAGGCGCGCGCGCGGGGCCGCCACTGGGCAGGGGATGCAAGTGGGTGCTGGGCAGGGGTCCGCCCGCCCGCGCCAAGTCCGGGGCTGGGGGCGGAGCGTCCGCGCCGGGAGCGGGAGCGAGGTGGCCGCGGGAGCGGGCAGGGCCGGGGCGTGGAGTTAGGAGTCGGCCGGGGAGCCGGAGCCCGGGGGGAGGGGGCGGCGGCGCGAGCCGAGCGGCCGGGCGGCGCGGGGACTGCGGAGGTGCGGCGGGCGCGGGCCGGGCGGCGTCACCAGAGGCGGAGGGGGCGGAGCCGCGCTCGCAGCTGCCACCCGGCCGCCGGGCCCAGGCAGACGACACCCGCCCGCGGCCGGGCTCGCACCGCGCAGGCACTCTCCAAACAATGCTCCGCGGCTCCCGGCCGGGTGGCGGGCGGCTCGGCGACAGACGGCGGGGCCCGGGGAGCGCAGCCCCGAGGTGAGCCCGCCACGCTTTCTGCCAATTCCGCCGCTTTTTGTCTGGCAAATGTGGCCGCTGAGTGGAGCCTTGGGGAGCGCTGCGATCGCCCGGCGGGAGACCGGCGAGCGGCGTCCCCGGGTGACAGGCGGCCGCCGGGGAGAGCGCAGCGCCCGCGCCGCGTGCGCCCGGGGCGCCGCCGAGGTGGGGGCGCCTCTCCGGGTGGAGCGGGGGCCCGGAGGGCGTTTTTGATTCTTTCGAGAATGGCGCTCTTTAAATCGGGGAAACTTTCCTTCGAGTTCCGGGAGGGGGACCCGACTGCGGTGATGGTGTGGCTGGGCTTGCGGCTCTGTTCGCGGCGAGAGGCTGGAGCGCTTTGGGGACGGCTCTGACCCGAGAGTATTGTCCGAGGAGCGGCGAGGGGAGGCCGCCTGGCCGCTCGCGCCGGGACGAGGGCGGTGGCTTGGGGGTCCGGGGTCGCTCCCACCTGGGCAGCAGCGGGTCTCAAGAGGGAACGAGGTGATGCCCTTTTCCGGAGTCGTGGCTGAGATCTGAAAGGCAATCTGTGAGCTCGTTCTGACTCTTTGCTCGTGCAGACACACACACACACACACACACACACACACACACACACACCATGGGACCTCTCCACCGGGAACGAAGCACACAGCGTCGGCTTCCTGTGTGTACATTTCTCTCAGGTAAGCCCAGCCGGCCGGCACATGGCTTTGCAGAACCGATAGCAAAGCCCAAAGGTCTAGGGGCGAGGAGTTTTGCAATGTATTCAGTCCAGAGTCAGGTTCAGAAGGTTTCACTGATCACTGGCCTGAACTATCATTAACAACCCCTCTGCTCTTCCCTTCTGGAGAAGGAAATTTGACAGGCAGCCCTAGGGAATGCTGCAATTATTTTGCTATCCTGGGTTCCTTTGAAACTTGGGTATCCTCTTTATTGGTTAGACTGTATTGGGTGCAAAACCACATTCCTCCTGCAGAGATTAGATTACACAGTGTTGGAGAAAGAAAAAAGAAAAAGAAAAGTTGTGTAAATATCATAATTTAGCCTCTGTGTGTGTGTGTGTGTGGATTCTTGTGGGGGGTGTTAAGGTTGTCACTTAATCCTTTCTGCTTGGTCAACCCTAGGCAGTGGAGTGTGCTGAAATCTGGACATTTTTCATACATATTTCCTTTTTCTGCTGTCGCATTAATTCAATGATAATATACAGAATATTTTTAGATAAGTATTTTCAGGAATTCTGCCATTTCAGGGTAAGGCATAAGCAACTTCTGATGCTAGTACGAGGGGCATTTTGAGCCAGAAAGATTTCATTTTATGAATCTGGCCACCCGGATTGGTCAGATTCTTTTTGAAACCAGGTGGGAGTGTATCTGACAGCTTCAGTCTTGCAAATTGTAGCCACAAATCCAGTGCAGGAGTTTGCAGAGGCAAAGACATTTTATCATGACTTGGATCAGAAAGAATGCTGAGATCTTTTTCTAATCTGACACTGCAGCCTCCCACTGAAATGGGGGGGGGATTTGCATAATTCTGGGGGCCGCCTCCCCTTGGAGGTAAGGAATGTGGGCTGGGAAGTGCCATTCCCAGGCGGTGGAGAGCTGGCACCGCTGAGCTAGGCGAGGCCAGGCTCCTGCTTTGTGGGCGCCACTTGCAGTTTTTCACCATCTTTCACTTAAAACAAATAGGAGATAATTCCAGGCACAGAAACGCAACTGGAAAAAGAGTCTTTTTTTTTTTTTTTGGCTGGACATGGTGGTAAATTCTCTTTGCTGGGACTGAGAAACCAGTTTGAACAGGATGCAGTGAGTCAATGACAGTGGGAAGCCCAGGGCTTCATTGTGTTTTCTTATTCAAGTACTGTCCCTTCCAAACCTCTGTGTCCCTGGTCCCTGGCAGTTGTGTGGTGAAAGTTGTGTCTAATCCTCTGAGAATTTAGAGCTGAGGATGGGAGCAAAGCGAGCGCTCATAAACTGGTGAGGTGTTCTCATGGAAGCTTCCTTCCCCCATGTTAGTAATCCAGAGCCTACCAACCTCCCAGGGCTGTACAGAGGCGCGGATGTTAGAAAGTGGGGTCCCTGGCACCACGAAACACCTCCATGGCAAGTTTGTGTTCTCAGTTGCCTGTTGAGAAGAAAATGAGACGCGGCCACCCAAAACTGTGTCTTTGTGAATCTGTGGTAACCTCTGAGAAAGTCGTCAGCCACCTACCTCCTCAGAGAGCCCAGCCTCGGGAGCGGCTGTCAGGGACTTGAGGTGCCCACACAGAGCTGGTTTCCAAGCTGTCTTCTCACATCCCTCTGAGGGGACGTGGGCTGTAGCGGTGGGCCCTGTGGTTTCTTTTCTGTGGCTGAGAAGACCTAGGCAGCATTCACCCATCGGCCACCCAGGAAGGGACCTACCCTCCACCCCACAAGGCCAAAATATGTCCTCCACTTTTTTTCCCCTTTGCAAAATTGAGCTCCAAGCCTATCGCTCTCTGTGGCCCGAGATTATAAGAGAAAGACAAAATGTGGCTACGCTTCCTATGCTTGTTGAAGCCCAGTGACCTCTTCTGGAGAACTTGGCGAGGGATAAGCCTGCTACTTGGGTGTATTCAGAGGAGAAACTAACTGACAATCGTCTCAAAGAAAGGGATGTGTAAGACCCTAATGATGACTGCTGAAAGACAAATGCTTTTTTCTTTTCTTTAGAGGATTCTTTTAGTTTAAAGATGCAGTGGGCTTCATCCTTAATTTGGGAGGAGAAAGAGGCACAGTTAGCTTCAGTACTTGTTGAGTAAGCACCCTTATCTGTGAGTGTGGCAGACAAGAAAGACGGCACTTCTCACAAAGACTCTGGAATGATCTGTGGGCTGCCCGACGCATTCTACCTGGTTAGCCCTGTTGGTAGTTTCGAGAGCATCAATTCCAAGCTGATTTTCACGGGAGGAGCGTGGAGAACAAACCCTAGAGAATCCATTCAGCTTGGGATCTTAGGGAAGATTTTCTCTGGAACACTCTTCTTATAGGAAGTCAGATCTGTTTTAAAAGGGTAGGAAGAGCCATGAGCAGTAGCAGGCAAATCATGGCAAGCTACTCAGTCTTATGAACACTGGGGTGAGTTGAGGAGCTGATAGCAAAGTTGACTTTTGTTTCCAGAATCACTGACTCTTTGTGTCTATGGACAGCTCTCAGTTCTTGTCTCTGCTGTCTCTGTTTCCCCACCTATAAAATTGGGATAGCAGTTAGATTGGACGTTATTCAAAGTAATTGGTTAATGTCTGTGACCCTTTGAGCTCCTGGGTGGTGAATTTACAAGGGAGTGTGGAGCACACTGTTTGCTTGCAGTTTTACTGTCAGAAGCCATGAACTCTTTGAGCAAGCTGATCACCTTCTTTAGAACTATCCTAGGTAAAGAACTACTTGATAATCTCTTCTCTCTCTTAGAATCTACCCAGCCACCCTTTGACCAGGACCATGGGAGACCACGCCTTTCTCTTCCTACTCTTTTCCCCTTTGGCCTACAACACTCAGCTTTGTTGACCTCTCCAAGCACAGGATGGAATAATGTATATTATCCAAGGGTAGCAGGAACATTCCCAAGATACCAAACCTCTCCATATGGTTCCTGGACAGGGGGGAGCGCAGGCCAGCATCCCACTTCTCCCCTTTCTCAAACAATCCTGTCACCACCTGGTTAGAAGTGTGGATTGCAATGCCCATTTCAGGGCCCAGACCTGTCACCTGTCTCATACATTTCCTGTCACCTGTCTCATACATTTCTTGGTCAAAAAGTGTGGGTTATCTTCTGGAAGCCATTATTTTTATTTGCTGTATTACATCACAATTCTTGTTTCTTAAGGGCAGGGGGGCTGTCCCATGCTCTAGACCCCTAGTGACAGGGAATTCATGGATGAAGGACAGGCTTCTCATCTCAAGCCCTATGTGATGTCCTCCAATAACTGCCCAAACCTCCTAGCATCCATGATTTAAGGGGACTGTAATGTCTTTTATGCCCTCTTTTCATACAAGGGGCCGTGTTTAGTTTTTACAGCTTCAGGTAAGGCCACACCACTAGAGAGTGTCTAAGAGCCTTGTGACAAATGGGTGAGGGCCCTAGAATAAATGGAATCCTAATCTTTACTTTTTTTTCCCTCTCCTTGTCTCCTTTCTTCTCCTTTTTCCTCCTCGATCAAATAATCAGACTGTAATTGAGAATATACCCATCCTGCAACAGGGCGGGTCTCTAATCAGGAAAGTGTCCTCCTGCCTTTCCAGGAAGCCACCCTGCGACCCACCTCTGCCCCCTGCAAGACCACGCCAGATAGCCGGGCACAAGATGAACCAGCACACCGTCGGCTCAAGATGCACCAGACCCTCCAACTGAACCCCGAGAGCCCGAAAATGTCTGCGTGCAGCGACTTTGTGGAGCACATCTGGAAGCCCGGGTCCTGCAAGAACTGCTTCTGCCTGCGGAGTGACCATCAGCTGGTGGCCAGCCATCCCCAGCCCCGAGCCGGCAGCCTGCCCCCTCCACTGCGCCTGCCCCCCAGGCCTGAGCACTGCCGCCTAGAAGATGAAGGTGTGAACAGCTCGCCCTACTCCAAGCCCACCATCGCCGTGAAGCCCACCATGATGAGCTCCGAAGCCTCTGACGTGTGGACGGAGGCCAACCTGAGTGCCGAAGTCTCGCAGGTGAGGCTGACTAACCCCTGCGGTATTTTTACAGGGGCTGCTCCTGTTGTAACACTTGGTGACTGGCAGCCAGCCAGGGAGGGCTGTTTTAGCAAGAATCCTGCAGGATGGCTTTCTTTCAGCTTGCCCCAGGATTGCTCTTGCCAGACTGCTGGGATTTGCTATAGCTGCCCTCCTTTCTCTCTGTCCTTCTTGGCTAAGGACCATTTATCCAGCCCCTTCAGCATTTCCTCCTGTGATTTATGGAGACTGCATGGAGCAGATAAAAATGAAGCTTTTTAAAAAGCAGCTTTAAAAAAATTTTGACCACGACATTAACTACACACACAAGTAGCAATAATTGCATAAGGAATCCCATGCACCCAGTACCCTTCCACTTGAACTTCCAACAGCCATCAACTCATGACCAATCTTGTTTCATCTCTTCCCCACCTACCTGCCCTTTCCCTGTGATTTCAAAGCAAACCCCAGATATCACATCATTTCAGTACATATCTTTAAAAGATAAATTCTTTATAAAAAATATAACCACAGTACCATTATCATGCTTGAAAATATTAGCGGTAATTTCTTAATATCATCCCATACCCAGCTAGTGTTCAAATTTCCGATTTTTTTGAAGCTTAGAATTTACCAGCTTAGATTTAGGATCACTAAATACAGTTCCATCCCTAGAGGCTAGACCATTTTGCTAATCTCATAGGTAACCCTTAGATAGGTATAATTTAGAGCAGTGGTCCCCAACCTTTTTGGCACCAGGGACTGGTTTCGTGAAAGACAATTTTTCTTGGACTGGAATGGGGCTGGGGGCAGCAGAGCTCTATAGCCTGGACTGGTCTGTGGCCTGGGGGTTGGTGACTGCAGATTTAGAGGACACGTAGCCCAGGGCTGCTGGCATCTGTGGCCTTTAGACATGTCTAGGAAGCTGTATGGCTAAGACATATTCTAGGAACTGCTTGCTTCCTGTTTGACCTCTTTGCCTGTTCTAGTTTTTCTCAACCAATGCGATGAGTGGCTCAGGAAGGCTGCGTGGACACATGTGACAACAGAGGCCAATTTTAACTCTTAACTCATTGAGGAGGGACATTTGCTGTGCTCACAGTGAGCTCAGTGTCCCCTTCAGGGCTGCTCCACATGGCTACACCTATTCCCAGGCCATTCTGAACCCCTTCAACCTTCACCCACAGTGAGCCGGGGACTCTTCCAGAACCATCTGGGAGAGGAGCCAGAGGCAAGCCCTACTTTGAGGCTACTTCTAAACGTGGGGGTAGGGAGGAATTCAGACAAGGAGGAGGGAACAGTGACTTCAGTGATGGTAATAACCAGGCCATATCTCCATCCTGTCATAGCCCGACTAGTCTAACCACGTGCACGGGCTGAGGTCACCGCTGCAACTGGGAGAAAGAGTGGCTCTTTGGCGTGACCTGCAAAGCCCCGAGAAAAAGCAAGGAAGCCAAATCCACCCCTATCCCTCATGCCCTACCTAGCCCTACCACCCCCCAAGGTATTTTAAAAACCCTATGACTTTGATCTCTTCAGGAATGTGCTGTGACAGGGTTATCACAAAACCCGCGAACACAAAAGAAAAATTAAACAAAACCCCAAATTCTATTTTCCGCGCCTGTAGAACAGCATCACTCCACCTGGTAGTTGCAAGCGAGGGAGAAGCAAAATGTTCTTTTTTAGAGTTGATTTTTCTTTTCCTACCTCCCAGACTTAAGCCAAAAGCGTTACAAACCATGGGTGGGAAGCGCAGCTCAGTCTCCGGCAAGACAAATGGCTCTGCGGGGGCCCCAGCCGTGATGGCAGGCGTGATGGCAGGCGTGGGGAGATCAGAGGGTGGGCGTGCGCGCGGGCACCGCACTACGGAAGACAGTCTCCGACGTCATCGCCCTGCCCTGCCCGCTCACTTTCTCTCTCTTGCTTTTTTTCTCTGACAAGGTCTAATGTTAAGTCTTTTCACCTTGGGGCTGTGCAGGTCATCTGGAGACAAGCCCCCGGCAAGCTCCCGCTCCCGAAGCAGGAGGACGTCTACCTGGGCAGTTTCCGCAGCGCGCAGAAGTCCGCGGGTCCCTCGGCCGCCGCCAACGGCAACGCGCGCTGTCCCCCTGCCTACGCCATGGTCGGCCTGCACAGCCTCGAGGCCCGGGGGGAAAGGAGCGTGGCCTTCCACCCTGTGAGCTTCCCAGAGGACAAAGGCAGGCGAGAAGATAAACCTTCAGTTCCCTACCCAGACCTGCCCTCTGCTCAGGAGAGCTTCCGCCAGAGACTGGCTGCTTTCGCCGGGACAACATCTGGCTGTCACAAGGGCGCCTCTCCGCAGCCCCTGCGCGAGTCCTTGCCCTCGGAGGATGACAGTGATCAAAGGTGCTCGCCCTCCGGGGACAGCGAAGGCGGAGAGTACTGCTCCATCCTGGACTGTTGCCCAGGGAGTCCCGTTGCCAAGGACGCCTGCCAGGCAGAGGGCCACCGGGGCAGACGTGGCGGAGGGGACTGCTCGCCGACATGCTGGGAGCAGGGAACGTGTGCCCGGCCCGCTGAGGATAAGAAGCGGGTTCTGAGCTTCCCCAGGGATTTCTGTAGCCAGGGCCAGCCCGCCAACCCACCCTGCCTGGGCCCCAAGAAGCCGTCCCTCTCCTTGGAGGCTGCCACTTCTTCCGACGGCCTGTCCTGTGGAAGTAGCAGCAGCCGGGCCAGCAGCCCCTGTCCCCCCCACCTCGAGAGCGATTACTGCTCTCTCATGAAGGAACCCGCACCAGGGAAGCAGCAGGACCCTGGCTGCCACGGGGCGACCTCTAGCAGACGCCTAGGGCTGGCAGGCGACGCCCCGCCCCCCGCCCACCCCAGGGAGGCTGCGCAGCCCGAGCCCATCTATGCGGAGAGCACCAAGAGGAAGAAGGCAGTCCCAGCGCCTTCCAGGCCACAGGCTAAAGCAGAACAAGCATCAGCTGCCCAGGGCCAGGGCCAGGGCCAGGTACGGACAGGTAACAGCGTCTGGTCCCAGAAAACGGCACCCGGCTGGGGCAGGGATAGCCCAGACCCGGCTCCCCAGGTGGCGGCCACCATCACTGTCATGGCAGCCCACCCAGAGGAGGACCATCGGACCATCTACCTGAGCAGCCCTGACTCTGCGGTCGGGGTGCAGTGGCCACGCGGGCCTGTGAGCCAGGACTCCGAGGTGGGCCAAGAGGAGACTTCCGCCAGGCAGGGGCGGAGCTCCAGGGAAAGCCGCAGTCACGACGCCAGCAGGAACACACCCAAGGGCAGGCCCGCCATTCCCCCCAAGCTGTCCAAGAGCAGCCCGGGAGGGTCCCCGGTGTCACCCTCTGCCTCCCCACTGGCTGACCTCAGTGAGGGGAGCTCTGGTGGCGGTGGTGGTGGCATTGGGCCCCCGCCTGCATCCAGAGGCCCCACTGACCCTGCTTCTTCCTGCCGGGCCAACAGTGACCCTGCCCGCTGTCCCCTGCCTGCTGCTGCCTCCTCCTCCTCCACCTTGGACCAGAGGCGGCCCAGGTTCCAGACGGGCACCTGGAGCCGTCAGTGCCGGATAGAGGAGGAGGAGGAGGTGGAGCAGGAATTGCTGAGTCAAAGCTGGGGAAGAGAACTGAAAAATGGCACCATGGACCATTCACACTCCACGACCTGGCACCGTCTCCACACCACTGACGGCTCCTCTGGGCAGAACAGTAAAGTGGGCACTGGGATGAGCAAGTCGGCCTCTTTTGCCTTTGAGTTCCCCAAGGACAGAAGTGGGATTGAGACATTCTCACCTCCTCCCCCGCCTCCAAAATCGAGGTGAGTATCCTGGTGTGTGTGTGACTCTGTGCGAAGGGCAAAGGGCTCTTCCAGAAACCTTTGCCTTTGCTGTCTCTTCCAAAGGCTTTCAGGCCCAGGATCTGGGCCCCAGCATCTGCCCCAGGACCCTGGTGTCTTTATATAAATTTCCAAGAGTCCCGTGCAGCCCTGAGAGAGCAGGAGATGTTGCTCATTGGTGCTCAGCAAACAAGCCTGCTTGGGATTGGCTACTTGGAACGAATCTCTCCAAGAAGCATCACCAAACTCTCTCTCTTTTTTTTTTTTTTTTTTTTTTTTTTTTTTTTTTTTTTTTGTGACAGAGTCTCGCTTTTTTTATTATCTGGTGCTTCTTATTTTATTTTATTTTATTGCCCTCATCTCTGGTGTCTTCAGCAGGCTTTGAAGGAAACCCTAAAATTTTCATTTATTTAAACATGCAAACGAGCGCAAAAGATGGGTATACCATAGGACTTGGGGAGATAAACAGGCAGTGCCAAATGTGTTCTCAGTGGACTGTTAGTTACCAGTAAACCAGGGTGCCTACGCCTTGGGGCCTAAAGCAGAAAAGAGGAAGCTTTGTGAGTGGTTAGGAACCCTCAGATGTGGGGTTTTCAAGAAAAAAAAATATATAGTTTCATGTTAGCATGCTGAAACTCACAGCTTTCTACACTGCTTCACCGCTATCTCCTGCCAGTTTAAAGTACCTTTCAAAGGCTCAAGAAAAATAAATGCCTTTTTTTTTTAAGCTATTGGGTGAGCTGTGCATGGAATTTAAATTCTGGGGAAAAAAAATTTTGCCTGGATGAGAGCAAAACTGATTCCTATTAGGGAAAGGAGAAACCTGCTGTCTTTCAAAAAATGACAGTCCTTCCTAACAGACTTTCTCTAGTCATGTCATTTCCAGTGGCTCTATTTCAGCTAATGTGCCTCTAGGTTGATGTCGGAAACAAGGGAATTGACCACAGAGAGAAGCAGCCGTGTCACTTGACTTTGAACATCAAGACTTCTCAGGCTGTGATGTGATCTAACATGAGCTTGCTCTCGTGACCACGGCTTTGTTCTGGTATTACATTGGCCACCCACCATGTGCACTAGACATTTTCCAGGCCCTCAGGTGATTTCAGACTCTCTTTGTCCACAGTTTTAACTCCCAGAATGAACGAAGGCTTGAGCAACTAAGTCCCATTTGTATGGTACTTACTATGGGACCAGGCATGGGTTTAAAGGCTCTATCTAGACATATTAACTCATTTAATCCTCACAACAGTCCTGGGAGGTAGGAATTACCAGCCCCAATTTACAGATAACAGAACAGAGGTAGAGAGTTGAAATAACCTGCCTAAGGTTACAGCCAGACCTGGAAGCCAAGCTTCTAAGTCTGTGCTCCTGAACATTCAAGACATCAACAGACATAGGATTTGAGCAAGGGATGGGAGAGAAGCAACAGCACTGCTTTTGTCTGCCTCTGCCCTGGGCAGCTTAGTGGAAAGTACAGGCTTTGGTGTTAGAAAATCAAGTTCTAGTCCATCTCTTTCATTTACAGGCTAAGCGACCTTGAGCAAGACACTTGCCATGACTGGGTCTCCACGTTACTCTTCTCTAAAATGGGATGATAATAATACTTTGCTAACACCCTGTTATTGAAAGGCTCTAATGAGATTCCGATGCAGAAGCCAATGCAGAGGGTAGTTATGATATTGGCAAAAGCCACCTAAGCTGTTGATTGTGTAATGACACCCAGCCCCTCTCTCTGGAATGTCATGGCACAATCACAATAGAAACACCACCTGAGCCTTGGAAAAATAACTAAAACTTATTTCTTTAAGAATCACAGGGTTTGGAGAAATCCCAGCAACCATAGCAACATGACTCAGGTAGGGTTTTAATTAGCATCTGGGTTGAGATCAGAGTTTTTGGCCCAGTTTGTTATGATAAAACCATGGGATTCTATACAGCTCAAACCAGGTGGGAATCTTGGAGGTTCTGGGTTTCAGCTCTTAAAAAACAAACAGAACAAAAAACCCCCAAAGTTCTTATTTGCAGGACTTTTGGGAGAAAAATCTAGGAAATATAATTAGCCTAAAAGAATGCAGAAAAAAGAAAAGAGCATCTTGTACTACTTAAAATAAATCAAGCTAGTATATATTTCATTTGGGGATGCATTTTCATTTTTCAGACATTAGTGGCATTATCTTTTGCATCCTCACTTTTCTCCCCTGCCAGGAGATAAGAGGGCAATGTTGAGACTCTAAGGTGACTTTTAATTCTGGAACTCAGTACTTACTGAATTCCTCTGAGGAGGGTGCCAGGAACCCCAGAGTCTTCAAACACAGCAGGCCCCGGTGTTGGTAAATCAGAGTGTTAGTGACGACACAGCCTACAATCTATCCAGTACCAATCCAGTACACACTGGTAATCATGGCAGGCCGATGTCAGTTTCCAAAATGGAAAAATGGAGAAGGTCTGGCAACATACAAGGTCAACTTGATTTTTTCCTGTGGGCCCATCTGTTAAGTGGATCCTTGTTCTAAGGATTAGCCTCAGTAAGTGTGTTATATGCACTCAGAACTCTAGAGAAAGGGGTTTCTTTCGTGCAGGGTAGCGTTCCTTTTGACTTACACAGTGTGGCGACAGAGACAGTTCCATCTGCTTTCTTGGGCGATTATGGAAGAACAGAAAATGATCTTCTGGTTTGCCTGGTGTCTTGTTTATCATCCTGTTTTACAAAACTCACTGACCTGAAGGAAAAAAAAAATAGATGTTAAGAATCACTTGGCCTTCCCATGACCCTGTTTTGAATGTTTGGCAGTAGCTTATCTGTCTGAGATATTGTCCTCTGTAATCTCCCATTTGTGTTCCTGAGAAACCTCTTCCTGTAATGCCATGTGGGACAGGCTCTCCATGCTCGTTTTAGGTGCTGAATAGCCCTTCTTTGGAGGAGTTTAAGTGTATGTTCCACCCTCCTCCTGGGCAGGTAAGGCAGGGTCTTTCCTTACCTGTTACTGCCAAGGCAACCTTCCCTACCTGCAAAGTCACATTTCCTTAGCATGATGGCCCCCACAGTCTCTGGGTCACCCCTGCTCCAATTTAGGGCAGAATTATAAGAAGAGGACCAAAAAGTACTGCCTGTTAGGGAAACAAAAATGCTGCAGGAAAGAAGTGTAGATTCTTAGTTTGAATGTCATGTTCAAGATTTAAGGCAGTTTGACACGGACAGCAGTGTTGAGGGGAACAAGATGTGAAAGAACCACATTTCATTCTGCCTTTTATTTCTTTGCAGATGCAAAGCTGGTTTTAGATGAGTTTTGAATGACAATGTCAATTGAAGGAAAATCACCTGGGTAGTGCAGACAAGCGTTTTCTGAAAGAAACTCCAAAGTAGGAGGCTAGGCCTGAACACAGGTGGGCTTGAGGATGACAGGTGAATAAGAAGTAAGACAAGTTGGTGTGGTTTCAGTGTCCAAACAGTCTTGGCCCTCGGTGAGACTAATCAGAAGAAAAGTTTCCCCGAAAAAGTGAGAGATGTTTTTGCTTAAAGTTCTCACTTATGCTCATTTTAATTTTAACCCACTACTTACTAAATTCTCTCTTCCTTAGTGGGGAGGCTGGGAAGCAGATGTTAAGTCTGTCCTTGGGCTTTGGCTTACTCTTAAATTCACCCCTTGTGTTGCTTCTTAGAAAGGTAGTGACAGTGTCATTTCTGTCCACAGAAGTGGCCACTTGGCCACTTGAACCAAAATGACTTCATTATGTGTTCTTTCCTGTAACATACTCTCTTAGCACGAGCCTCGAGAATGGGCATAGAGTGAGTGACATGGGTATTTCTCTCCACACTCTCATCCAGTCCGATGACAGCTCCAAATGCTTTCTTCTGGTGGCACTTTCTGCTGTCATGGATTAATTATAGTGGGGTGGCAGTGACTTACTAGGAAACCTCATAGTCTTGATGCATAATGGCCTTTTCTGGGTGGCATTTTGTAGATCTCAGTTTGTATTAGGAAGCACTGTATGTAGAGACCCTTCTCTATGTTTAGCCTTTTGGACAAAACTTAAGTAGGCTGGAGGTTGAGTTGGTCAGGGGAGAACGAATCCTGGACATACTTCAGTGGGAGAAATTGCTCCCCACATGGACACAGAGTTTGGCAAACAGAACAAAGCATATGTGTCAACAACAAAAGTTTATGTTCTCTCTCATACCAGGGGAAAATTCATAGTTGGCCTTTTCCCAGGAGTTTGTAGCCAGAGCCTGGACACATGGGACATCCAATGATACTGCAAGCAGTGACTATTGAACTTGATTCCTAGCTTCCTGTTTTGTAATTAAAAAAAAAAATCACTGACTTGACAGCAGTATATATAAAACATTTAAGACCTCTCTAATTCTGAGCTTACATCCTTGACTAAGGCATTAGAGACTCTTTAATTTATCAGAGATTTACTAATTGCCTACGTTTTATTGGGTTCTGTGCAAGGTGCTAAATAGCCAGTGACTGGAGTTCTGTCCCTTCAGGATCCTGAGGGTTGAGTTGAGTATGAATGAAATTGCAGATGTGCAGTATGACCACCAAAGGCTCACCCCTGCCTTGATTCTCTGGTTCTCACAGGATCTGGATTCTCCGCAGATTCTGTGTTCTGTCCAGTAACACAAAGTTAAACTCAGCTCTGTGTCTGGCAGTAAGTAGTCATAATCTCCTTTAACTGTATTTTGACTTGATCCAAGATCAGAATTAGTACAGGCTTGTAAATAATCATTTTTTTTTAAATATAGGCCAGATTTTCTTCAAAGGGAAAGAGCATGCTTAGCCGATTGTATTTCCACAAAGTCCAGCTTGGTGCCTGGCACATAGTAGATGCTCAAGAAATACTTGTTGCGTGGACAGGTGTAGGCAGATACAGAGACCGTGCCTTAGTTCATTTTCCAGCAAAGCACCTAACTCCATGTTTTACACATAATAGGTGCTCAAGAAATGTGGGAGGCAGAAGCAAGTAGCTTTGACTAC